CCGGATCTGAAAGTTAAAGTTCTATATTGGAGGAAGGCCAATTTTGATGGTATTAGGCAAGAACTTTCAAAAGTTATTTTGGGGGCAGATATTCGCAGATAAAGGGACAGCTGGAAAATGGGAAGCCTTCAGAAATGGGATAATGAGTGTCCAGAGACAGTATGTTCCTGTTAGGGTGAAGGTCCAGGCTGGTTGGTGTAGGGAATGCTGGATGTTTGGAGAAATTGAGGCTTTGGCCAAGAAAATGGAGGAAGCAGATGTCAGGTGTAGACAGCAGGGATCGAATGAATCCATGGAAGAGTATAAAGGCAGCAGGAGTATACTCAAGAGGGAAATCAGGAGGGCAAACAGGGGATATGAAATGGCTTTGGAATATAGGGTTTAAGGAGAATCCAAAGGGCAACTAGGGAGAGAATAGGGCCCCTTAAAGATCAGCAAGGCCGTCTACGTGTGGAACTGCAGGAGATGGGGGAGATACTAAACGAACATTTTGTATCAGTGTTTAATGTGGAGAAGGACATGGAAGCCAGAGAACTTGGAGAAATAAATAGCGATATCTTGAAAAATCTCCATATTACAGAGGTGGTGGGGCTGGATGTCTTAAAAGGTGTAAAAGTGGATAAATCCCAGGGACCTGATCAGGTGTGCCCTAGAACTCTGTGGGAAGCGAGGGAAGTGATTGCTGGGCCCCTTGCTGAGGTATTTGTATCATCGATAACCACAGGTGAGGTGCTGGAAGACTGGAGGTTGGCTAATGTTGTGATACTATTTAAGAAAGGTGGTAAGGAAAAGCCAGGGAATTATAGGGACCAGTGAGCCTGACATTGGTGTGGGCAAGTTGTAGGAGGGAATCCTGACGGACAGGATTTACATGTATTTGGAAAGGCAAAGACTGACTAGGGATTGTTAGCATGCCTTTGTGCGTGGGAAACTGTGTCTCACTAACTTGATTTGAGTTTCTTGAAGTAGTAACAAAGAGGATTGATGAGGGCAGAGCGGTTGGTATGATCTATACGGACTTCAGTAAGGTGTTTGACAAGGTTTTGCATTGTAGACTAGTTAGTAAGGTTAGATTACATGGAATACTGAGAGAACTAGCTATGTGGATACAGAACTGGCTCGAAGGTAGAAGGCAGAGGGTTGTGGTGGTGGAGGGTTGTTGTTCAGATTGGAGGCCTGCGACCAGCGGTGTGCCACAGGGATTGGTGCTGGGTCCACTGCTTTTCATCATTTGTATAAATGATCTGGATGTGAACATGGGAAGCACAGTTAGTAAGTTTGTGGATGACACCAAAAATTGGAGGTTGTAGTGGACAGTGAAGAAGGTTACCTCAGAGTACAACGGGATCTTGATCAGATGGGCCAATGAGTGGCAGTTGGAGTTTAATTTGGGTAAATGCGAGGTGCTGCATTTTGGAAAGTCAAATCAGGGCAGGACTTGTACACTTAATGGTAAGGTCCTGGGGAGTGTTGCTGAACAAACAGACCTTGGGGGGGCAGGTTCACAGTTCCTTGAAAGTGGAGTCGCAGGTAGACAGGGTGGCAAAGATGATGTTTGGTACGCTTGCCTTTATTGGTCAGTGCATTGAGTATAGGAGTTGGGAGGGTCATGCCTATGATTCCCCCACCCGGGGACGGGGCGGGCGTCCGTGCCTGTGACTCCCCCCCCAACCCAGGGACGGGGCGGGGGTGGGGGGTTCTGTGTCTAGTTTGTGAGATAGATACAGAAGCTGAGCTGTAAATAATGATCATTTTAATCTACACACTGCAGCATACATTGATTTAACTTCTGCATTGAAATCGCTCATTAAAATGCCTCAACACTGAAGACAGCAACTTGTTGCTGAATTCTCCTGGGCAGAACCCAATCAGAGGATAAGCAATTTCTTTAGTTCTTTCACCATAATCTTCAAACAGATTGCGTAAGCCAAGTCACAAGTCAGCAATTTGGATTGTTGAGAATGTGGGTGCTGGTGGACCGAGGCAGAGCGAGAGAGATGAGCCACTGCGTTATATCAGTGAGAATGAGAATGTCACACAACCAGGGAAGGAGGAATAGGCTGGGAACAGAAACCCCAGCAGCTGGATCCTCATCGTCCTGTACTGGTCATCATGGAATCCCCAAGGGAATGGTGAAGGAGATATAATCACCGATGGCTCCCCACTCCGGTCGGAATGTCTGGTAAATGGTTATCCAGGTGGTGAGAGCCACAATCCACAGCAGGAGACCCACTGCTGACCATTTCACATCTGCAAGGACAACAACTCTGTATTTACAGAGCGCCATTAACAAAGTCAAGCAGAGCAAAGGGGGGTTCCAAGGAGGGTCAATCACATTCAGCAGGGAGTGAGGGAGAGTGCGAGAAGGACAGCGAGCTCGAAAGAGGGGGAGCGAGGGAGCGAGCGCCAGGGACAGTGAGACAGCAACAGAGACAGCCAGACAGGATGACAGAAAGAGAGACAGGGAGAGACAGGAAACACGGTGGTGGGGAGAGAAAGAGAGAGTGACAGACTGAGAGACAGACAGAGAGAGCACTGTGTAGGGGATTAAACTGAGGGCATGGCACAGACATGGTGAGCGATTGAGTTGTGGGTGAATGGTCTTCCATGTGAATTGGGACATGGGACAGTAGAGCATGGGCTTGGGTGATCTTTAGGGAGAGTGGGAGATGTGGGGATGAGCTCCGGAATGAGAGAGTTGGGAAAGGTGGGGCGACCTGCGATTGAGGAGAATCTGAGCAAGGTTGATCTTACTCACATTTCCTAATCTGTAGTTGTTCATTGAACTGCGGTTTCAGGAATGCTTCCCGGAAAAACCACACGATGTTGACCAGCCATAGGAATGGCAGGAGAGCAAAACCACCTGGACAACAGGAGCAAAAAGACACCAGTGAATGCCCAGCACAAACAGGCCATTCAGCCCCTCTACAACATACCTGCCATTCTACTCCACACCAGACTCTAACCCAACCATTCTCTTCATCTCCCACATCCACCCAGCCCCCAGGACATCATTCTTCCATTCCATTCCATTCTCTCTTCTCTTTATCCAGCTTCTTTCTGCAATACAGACATTAGGGATACGGAGACTGGAACTGTGCACGGTGCTCCGAGTGTGGGTCT